CTGTTCTCCCTTTCGATTACACACACGTGTATTCTATGTCTTGCTGCGACTGACCTTCATTCCTCTTCTTTCTAGTGCAAACCTCCACCTCTCTAAACTCTAAACACCTCTCCAAACACCGTCTTCTGCTGTACATTTATGACATCACAAACACCTTCTCTGGGACTACCTCTTCTAACACAAACTAATCTGCCTCCACCTGGACAATTCAGGAGATTCTTTTTTTACAACACTTTAATCGATTCTCTATCTTGGCCCAGTTTTCATACATTACATTACACTCTGGAAAACCTATATCATCACATGATATGACTTTCTTCAACAACTAATCATACACTACTTACTGACCTGCATCAACATTTATAACAAATTCGCACTTTTCAACCCTTTCTCCACTACCTTGTTCATACACCATGTTACCCCTATCATACTAACATACTACACAACAACACTATTTCTCATTTCAAACCATAAAACAGGACATAGTTAATCGCACACTCTCACACCTCTTCAGGAACTCCATATCACTACACTCTTCTGGCCCTACACACCAACCACAACCACTCACACATGTGGACCCTTTCACACAACATAAAAAAAACACTGGGAGTCACAACATCCTTTGGACATTTAATGGAAACAACAAACAACTAACACACAACAACATCACATGCATGGCACAAAGACACTTTACATTCAAAACACATTCCATTACTTGCACATTAAACACTCCATGTTCATTTCAGTCCTATTTACTGCCTTTAAAAAGTCCCCGAAACGCCTTAAAATGCAAGATTAGGTCCTAAAACATGCTGCCAGGTGAATATTTAGTGTTTAAAAGTCCAAAAAGTATTTTATTTGAATATTTGAAAAATCACCCAAAACACGCCTTACTATAGCCTTACCTTCGTGAAAATATCGATAAAAATAAAAAGTCCCCGAAACGCCTTAAAATGCAAGATTAGGTCCTAAAACATGCTGCCAGGTGAATATTTAGTGTTTAAAAGTCCAAAAAGTATTTTATTTGAATATTTGAAAAATCACCCAAAACACGCCTTACTATAGCCTTACCTTCGTGAAAATATCGATAAAAATAAAAAGTCCCCGAAACGCCTTAAAATGCAAGATTAGGTCCTAAAACATGCTGCCAGGTGAATATTTAGTGTTTAAAAGTCCAAAAAGTATTTTATTTGAATATTTGAAAAATCACCCAAAACACGCCTTACTATAGCCTTACCTTCGTGAAAATATCGATAAAAATAAAAAGTCCCCGAAACGCCTTAAAATGCAAGATTAGGTCCTAAAACATGCTGCCAGGTGAATATTTAGTGTTTAAAAGTCCAAAAAGTATTTTATTTGAATATTTGAAAAATCACCCAAAACACGCCTTACTATAGCCTTACCTTCGTGAAAATATCGATAAAAATAAAAAGTCCCCGAAACGCCTTAAAATGCAAGATTAGGTCCTAAAACATGCTGCCAGGTGAATATTTAGTGTTTAAAAGTCCAAAAAGTATTTTATTTGAATATTTGAAAAATCACCCAAAACACGCCTTACTATAGCCTTACCTTCGTGAAAATATCGATAAAAATAAAAAGTCCCCGAAACGCCTTAAAATGCAAGATTAGGTCCTAAAACATGCTGCCAGGTGAATATTTAGTGTTTAAAAGTCCAAAAAGTATTTTATTTGAATATTTGAAAAATCACCCAAAACACGCCTTACTATAGCCTTACCTTCGTGAAAATATCGATAAAAATAAAAAGTCCCCGAAACGCCTTAAAATGCAAGATTAGGTCCTAAAACATGCTGCCAGGTGAATATTTAGTGTTTAAAAGTCCAAAAAGTATTTTATTTGAATATTTGAAAAATCACCCAAAACACGCCTTACTATAGCCTTACCTTCGTGAAAATATCGATAAAAATAAAAAGTCCCCGAAACGCCTTAAAATGCAAGATTAGGTCCTAAAACATGCTGCCAGGTGAATATTTAGTGTTTAAAAGTCCAAAAAGTATTTTATTTGAATATTTGAAAAATCACCCAAAACACGCCTTACTATAGCCTTACCTTCGTGAAAATATCGATAAAAATAAAAAGTCCCCGAAACGCCTTAAAATGCAAGATTAGGTCCTAAAACATGCTGCCAGGTGAATATTTAGTGTTTAAAAGTCCAAAAAGTATTTTATTTGAATATTTGAAAAATCACCCAAAACACGCCTTACTATAGCCTTACCTTCGTGAAAATATCGATAAAAATAAAAAGTCCCCGAAACGCCTTAAAATGCAAGATTAGGTCCTAAAACATGCTGCCAGGTGAATATTTAGTGTTTAAAAGTCCAAAAAGTATTTTATTTGAATATTTGAAAAATCACCCAAAACACGCCTTACTATAGCCTTACCTTCGTGAAAATATCGATAAAAATAAAAAGTCCCCGAAACGCCTTAAAATGCAAGATTAGGTCCTAAAACATGCTGCCAGGTGAATATTTAGTGTTTAAAAGTCCAAAAAGTATTTTATTTGAATATTTGAAAAATCACCCAAAACACGCCTTACTATAGCCTTACCTTCGTGAAAATATCGATAAAAATAAAAAGTCCCCGAAACGCCTTAAAATGCAAGATTAGGTCCTAAAACATGCTGCCAGGTGAATATTTAGTGTTTAAAAGTCCAAAAAGTATTTTATTTGAATATTTGAAAAATCACCCAAAACACGCCTTACTATAGCCTTACCTTCGTGAAAATATCGATAAAAATAAAAAGTCCCCGAAACGCCTTAAAATGCAAGATTAGGTCCTAAAACATGCTGCCAGGTGAATATTTAGTGTTTAAAAGTCCAAAAAGTATTTTATTTGAATATTTGAAAAATCACCCAAAACACGCCTTACTATAGCCTTACCTTCGTGAAAATATCGATAAAAATAAAAAGTCCCCGAAACGCCTTAAAATGCAAGATTAGGTCCTAAAACATGCTGCCAGGTGAATATTTAGTGTTTAAAAGTCCAAAAAGTATTTTATTTGAATATTTGAAAAATCACCCAAAACACGCCTTACTATAGCCTTACCTTCGTGAAAATATCGATAAAAATAAAAAGTCCCCGAAACGCCTTAAAATGCAAGATTAGGTCCTAAAACATGCTGCCAGGTGAATATTTAGTGTTTAAAACTCCAAAAAGTATTTTATTTGAATATTTGAAAAATCACCCAAAACACGCCTTACTATAGCCTTACCTTCGTGAAAATATCGATAAAAATAAAAAGTCCCCGAAACGCCTTAAAATGCAAGATTAGGTCCTAAAACATGCTGCCAGGTGAATATTTAGTGTTTAAAAGTCCAAAAAGTATTTTATTTGAATATTTGAAAAATCACCCAAAACACGCCTTACTATAGCCTTACCTTCGTGAAAATATCGATAAAAATAAAAAGTCCCCGAAACGCCTTAAAATGCAAGATTAGGTCCTAAAACATGCTGCCAGGTGAATATTTAGTGTTTAAAAGTCCAAAAAGTATTTTATTTGAATATTTGAAAAATCACCCAAAACACGCCTTACTATAGCCTTACCTTCGTGAAAATATCGATAAAAATAAAAAGTCCCCGAAACGCCTTAAAATGCAAGATTAGGTCCTAAAACATGCTGCCAGGTGAATATTTAGTGTTTAAAACTCCAAAAAGTATTTTATTTGAATATTTGAAAAATCACCCAAAACACGCCTTACTATAGCCTTACCTTCGTGAAAATATCGATAAAAATAAAAAGTCCCCGAAACGCCTTAAAATGCAAGATTAGGTCCTAAAACATGCTGCCAGGTGAATATTTAGTGTTTAAAACTCCAAAAAGTATTTTATTTGAATATTTGAAAAATCACCCAAAACACGCCTTACTATAGCCTTACCTTCGTGAAAATATCGATAAAAATAAAAAGTCCCCGAAACGCCTTAAAATGCAAGATTAGGTCCTAAAACATGCTGCCAGGTGAATATTTAGTGTTTAAAAGTCCAAAAAGTATTTTATTTGATTATTTGAAAAATCACCCAAAACACGCCTTACTATAGCCTTACCTTCGTGAAAATATCGATAAAAATAAAAAGTCCCCGAAACGCCTTAAAATGCAAGATTAGGTCCTAAAACATGCTGCCAGGTGAATATTTAGTGTTTAAAAGTCCAAAAAGTATTTTATTTGAATATTTGAAAAATCACCCAAAACACGCCTTACTATAGCCTTACCTTCGTGAAAATATCGATAAAAATAAAAAGTCCCCGAAACGCCTTAAAATGCAAGATTAGGTCCTAAAACATGCTGCCAGGTGAATATTTTGTGTTTAAAACTCCAAAAAGTATTTTATTTGAATATTTGAAAAATCACCCAAAACACGCCTTACTATAGCCTTACCATCGTGAAAATATCGATAAAAATAAAAAGGCCCCGAAACGCCTTAAAATGTCCACAGAGAAGTTGGGAAAGAAACCTCACGCGACAGTGTCTCCTGCTGCAGTTTGCTGACCTACACTTAGAGTATTGACCTGGGAGAGCAGCCTGAAAAAAAGTTGACCACACCTCCTTAAAAATAGAAAAATCCTGTCACAGCGACATCTAGTGTCCCCACCTCACAGTCATGAGAAACCAGAGAATGAATATATGATCTGTATCAAGACAAAGTGACAATCTTAGGTTGACAAACCGAAGCCCAGGTCCAGTCTGTGGTATTATGTCCTGCATCACCTGTATTTCCCAGGTTATGTCCTCAACGTCCTTCCTCATGTGTCAGCAGGTCAGGTGGACATCAGGCGGCAGATGCTGGGCCACGGTCAGTGACGCGGCCATCAATTTTCCAAGACACCCCTTGGAGGCTGTGTTGAAGAAGAGGAAGAAGGTTGTGATGACATCACAGTTCAAGTTAGTTTTTTCTTTTTTTAAACACACTGTTATTTTCAACCATTTCTGTCAGAGCACACAGTCTCCCACACTCACCTGTCATCGCTGCGTCTCTTTTGTGTCCATTTTTAAAGTCAAGCCCCAGATTGATGTTTCTTTTTAATTAGTTTCAGGCTTCATAATCACTTCATAATTTTGGGATTCTCCCACAGGAAGTAGAAGAAAGTGGAAGGGTGGGTGAAGATAAGGATAAGGTTTTGACCCCTGGTGATACTGAAGGTCGTCCTTTAATATACTTTTCTTTTGTACATGTTCACAGTCTGTTTTGATCGAACTACATCTGGATACATGTAAATATAAATCATTTGTACTGCAAACTGTTTGTTTAAATAGAACAGACCACAAGGGGGGGCTATATTTAATGTACTCAGTGCATCCTGGCCTGTAACAACAAATGTAGGATTCTGAAGCTGGTGAATAATTTGTCATAGTTGACTGTTTTAGTTTACTGGTTCATACTGGTCGGCTGAAAACCACAACTGAAGAATGTAAAGATTTGTTCCCAAATCATCAGCTACAATCTTTTATTCTGTGGCGGCTCCAGAAGACCTACCTTACCTTTACGCTGACTACTAAGCCTGCCTTTATTTTTGTCTAAAAATGACTATCTGTACGCACCACATCTAAACTTCAACTCTTGGTTGTCCCTCTCGTTCTTAATATTGATCATAAATGTGTTCAAATCCAGCCAGAATTTTCCGGATCCTATTTCTGCTGCTCATTCCTTCTCTCTGTTCTCCCTCAGTTGGCGGAGAAGAGGATTCGATGGGGAAAAAGAAAGTTTTCCACGGCTAAGATGCGCCGAGTGGGACTGACGCAGGACCGGTGAGAGCCAAAAGCAGCTCTGTCTGAGCGTCTATATTTACTACAGCACAAACTGCCAGTGCCAGTGTGTAGGATGACAGCTGGGTGAGTGCTTCAGTAAAAATGTACTGTCAGGACAGTGGCTGCTACAGCCAGGAAACAGGCTGTTGTGGGTCTGAGGTGAAACTCTTAGATGTTCCAGATGCCCCATAAGTCACAGTTGTTGGGATGACAGTCTCTGCAGTACGTTGTCAAGGTGACTGGACTGACAACAAAGGCAGATGAAAAGATCTTTTTATTTTCCCCCTATGTAAACAGCACTATGTGCAAAGCTATTGTTCCAGACCGTGTGCTGTCAAACATGACAATCAGAGCTTCAGTCTGGTTTGCTCAGATGGTTATATAATTTGGCTTCCTGTCATGTTTTATTGTTCCAATTTATGGACCTCAAATAATCTTAATTTTAACTCTTCCTTAAACCTTCAAGGGTTTTATTTATTTAACTTACTAATCTGCTCACTGACAGTCCAGTCACGGGTTAATTCCTGTCCCTTGAACCCAGTTTAATGGGTCTTCCACTCCAGGATTGTAAGATAAATCTTACAAATTATTGGAGCCCCAGTTTTTATTTTGCTCTTGAGGTGTGAAGTCATTTTATAGAAGCTTTGAAAAACAAATGAGAAGAAAAGGGGCCTGATTATTACATTTATAATATTTGAGTATAAAATTAACATTTTTGGGTGGACTTTATACATGTGCTTTACAGATGTATAGCCACCAGATGGAGACAAAGTAAACACAAAATTTAACAAATCCCAACAGTTTAAAGAAGTCAATAGGACTTTTCTTCAAATTTTGTTACATATTTATAGTAATTACAGTGAAGCTGTTCAACATGTGAATTAATGTCCATGTTTTAGTGCTGATCAAACTTGGAACTTTTTACTTTAGTCATTTAGGTTTGTTCAAGCTAATGTCACACGCTGTCCAGGTTTGAATGTGACAGTGGGAGAAGATTTTCCATCTTCTGAACCAGCAAAGCGTTCATAACTTGAAAAAAAAAAAGGAAAAAAAGTAGTGTTAATTAATAATTTTAATATTGAGGAAATTAATGACCCTGACATTACTTAGGTAAAGTTGAAGTTTAGTTTGTGTGATGTTTTTCCTGACACTTACAGTTTTGTGTATCTGTCCCAGTCAGACTTGCTGAGAGACGGTCTGGTCACAGACAGGGCAGCATTCACATGAGCCTGACGCAGCAGCAGACCTGGCTGTCCAGAGGCTAACTGGGTCAGTGAGCACTCCTCCTTCTGACACACACACACACACACAGCTCAGATGATAGACTGTGTGGAGACTATTACTGTGTGTCCAGTGTGCTGTCACTCACCTTGGCTCTCCTGTAGTTGTTTCTGATGAAGTTAACATCTTGTTGCAGTCGCTCCAGCTGCTCTGGACTCAGGTCTTCATACCCACTGTGGATGGAGGACATGTAAGCCGGAGGGTGAGGGGTGAAGGGCTCCAGAACTGATGCAGCGGAACAGTCCTGGGTCAAACAGTTCTGACCGAAGACGCACTGGGAGTTCTGTCAAGAGAGACAGGAGGTAGATCAACACACAGATGATAATTACAATTCCAATCCTGTAGCTTTCATTTTAGTGTACTTTGATTACAGAAGAGCACACCTGTCCTGCAACTGATGAATTCTCTACATCTGACTCATAGGAGCTTCCAAAGTACAGTCTCCAGACGTTATCATGACAGGGTTGGTCCTTAGCCCGTAGGTCCCCCTGCTCCAGAGGAACCACGGCCTGGTCCACACACACCTGTGGTTCTCCCTCCCCTGCTGAGTCCTCTGAGCCACTGGTGTTGTTTGGAAAGATCATGCAGGACAGACTCATGTCACTGTCTGAGCCAGAGGTCAGATCCTGAGAGAACAGTCAACACAGCAGGGTAAGATTAACAAACACAAAGTGTAATGAGTTCATCCACATATGAACACTGTTCATGCAGTAGAAAAAAAGTCTGAGCAGATAGATGGAGGGAGAGAGAGAGGAAAGGAAGGAGAAAGGGAGGGAGGAAAGGAGGGAGGGACGGATAGATAGACAGTTAAATAGACAGACAGACATATGTGGTGGAGCTAATTTGAACCATCAGTTAAATAGACAGATAGATAGCCATATGTGGTGGAGCTAATTTGAACCATGACTTTATCAACACTTTTCTTCTCTTCTGTTTTATTCAGGTCCAGTCAAACTGAACAAATACAAACTCTGAGATCAGAAGAGACTGACCCGTGCTCTGCCGATGCCGCCGCTGCTGTGGACGGCCTCCAGTTGTGTGTTGTAGAGCAGAGCCTTCAGATCTGCCCCGGTGAAGTGTTCTGTCACAGCAGCCAGCTGTTCCAGGTCAACGTCGGCAGCCAGGAGAAGGTCTGAGCTCAGAGCTCTGAGAATCTCCACACGAGACTCCTGCCACGGGGGTAAGACGGTTGGACGTTGGTTGAATTAATTGAAGAATCATTTTGAAAATGCTTTTTGATTTGTCATTTCGAGAACTGTTGTGCTTTAACAGACCCTGTCAGGAGGTGGACAGAAGAGGGACTTGTCCAATCGTCCAGGTCTGAGCAGGGCTGGATCCACAAGGTCTGGACGACTGGTGGCTGCAAGGACATAGACACCTGGGTAGAGGGAGAGAGGAGGGTGGATAGGAGGATGGGGGGGTTAGGGTAGAGAGAGGGTAGAGGGGATTAGACAGACAGAGAGACAGAGAGGGTGGGGGATTAGGGTAGAGAGAGGGTGGGGGGGTTAGACAGACAGAGAGAGAGAGCCCCTCACTATGTACTCCAACCCTTAATCACCCATCCTCCTATCCACCCTCTCTGTCTGT